CGGGGTGCAGCGTCCTGAGCGGACTCGGGGTTAGGAGGCGGGGGACGCGGGGCCGAGAGACCGGGAAGGGAGCCGAGGCCACTCGGAGCGGATAATCTCTTCGAGCCTGTTTCTCGTCCCTCAAGCGGGGGAGGAGCGCACACGGTTCCGCGGGCCGTCGTGAGAAATCGGTGAGGTCCCGAGTGCAGCCGTCGGCCCCGGGCTCGGTGTCAGCCTCAGGGCGGCGGCTTGGCAGTTCAGGCGGCAGATCCCGGGCTCACCTGGCTTCCCTTCCTTGCAGCTCTGCTCCCACCACCCCCGTGAGGACCCAGGACCGCCCTGCCGACCCGGGAAACCAGCCGTCCCCCGCGACTGTCAGCCACTAAGTCTGAGGTTCATTACAGAGCATTAAGCCAGTAAAACATCTTCTTTACTTCCAGCCATTCTCTCTCCCATCCAGGCATGAGCTTAACCTTCCTCAGAGCTTCAGCTCCGAGGGCAGTCCAAGGTCAGACAATAACTGGGAATATGTCAGTCTCCAATCAGTGAAGCCTCAATTTCCTTCAAACCAATTATTTGGGATCATGTTTTCCTCTATATAATAAACATTTTTGGATTTTTAATCGATAACCCGCTCTTATAAACATCTTACAGCTTCAGCTTTCATTTAAAGGTCTATTTATAAAAATAAGAAAGGGGACTAAACCCAGACAAAGATACTCTAAGGGGGAAAGGAAGCTCAGCCCTTTTACACAAAGTCCTATTGACCCTTAGAGTCTCTAAATCACAGTAAATTCAGAATTGGAGTCATTGGATTGCACGAAGTGCTGCTGCAGGTGTCACCGAGCCACTCAAGGACAGTGCTACAAAAATAATTGGATACAGCTTAAGAGAACAGTATTTGTGAATGGAAACAGCCACAGAAGCCTCTGAGAATTGAACAATAATGAGGTCAATTGAGTCTTGCCTGTCTCTGTTCGAGGAAAATGTCACGCTGCAGCTACCTTGAGACACAGGCTCAGGGCACAGGCAGTGCTAGAACATGTGGCAAACAACAAGAGTGGATGCAGAGTGCTGTGCAAAGCTGCTCAGAAAAAGAATTCACTGTAATTCTGAGTATGTGATCCATCTGTCAATGCAGAAAAATAACACATTTGAGGGTATGTTGATTTATGTGAAGAGGGCAAATCCTTATTAACATACTGAATGAAAATCGAATTTCAAGTCAGTTTTCTGGGGCTCTGTGATAGATGCAGGAGCACAACGTACAGCAAGTATACTTGTTATTAACCCTTCTGTAAGTTTAGGCATTACTATTCTTCCTCCTCCCTCCCCCAACAAAAGCAAGCAAGCAAGCAAACAAACAAACAAACAAAAACAGGAGTAGACTCTCTTTAATGTGTCCTGGTGGTGGACCATTTCAAGTTCATTGTCCAGAAGTACATATTAGCAGTGAATATTGAACTTTTTGTATAATTTATAGGACCATACATCTCTCCCCCTTTACTCCTGGAGCTGTGTTAATGGCTGCTGCTGCCCTGCAGCTGTGGTGCTGTGAAAGCATTCCCTTTAGATATTTAAAGACTGGATAGAACAGCCTGGAAGGTAATTATGGGGGAGGTTCTGGTAGTGCATTTGCTCCCTCAAAAAGAGCTTCTTTGCCAAACCTAGTTAACTTAGAAAATGGCATAAAAACTTTCTTCCGACTCCTCTGCCATCCCTACCCTCTCCTGTTCCCTGTAATTCTTGAATAACAATAAAGTCACAGTGTTTATTGGATTCCCAGACTATGAGAAATATTGCAATAGGAGAAATGGAAAATTTATTGAAGATATGGAGAGTATCTAGACTCAAAAATTTTAGTCTTTTAGATAAGGTCTGAAAAATGCTTTCCTTTCATCACAATCTACTGTAAAATGTGCAAAGCAATTGTGGCTGCAACTTTCTGACATACGTACCACTTTCTTTTTTTTAATATATATATTTTTATTTATTTCAGAAAGGAAGGGAGAGAGAGAGATAGAAACGTCAATGATGAAAATCATTGATAGGCTGCCTCCTGCACACCCCTACTGGGATTGAGCCCACAACCGGGGCATGTGCCCTTGACCGGAATCAAACCTGGAACTGTTCAGTCTGCAGGCTGATGCTCTATCCACTGAGCCAAACCGGCCAGGGCCTTTCTATTTCTTAATAGGCTTTTGCTAGGTTCCAAGTCTTATTTGGCAAATATCTCCTCCCTCCCGCCCTCCCTCCTTTTCTGCACATTTGTTAAAGTTTAGTGTATGTGCAGAAAAGCGGGTAGGTCAGAGTGTGTCGTGAGTTTGCCCGGTGGACACATCGTGTCGGCAGCACAGATGAAGGAGCAGAGGACTCAGCCTTTCGGCCTTTGTGCCTGAGTTTCTGTACTTTCCCTGCATCAGTGATGTCCCATGCAAGGGTTAGAGGTTGCACCTCTAAGCTGCTTCCTCTGCGCCGGGCACTGTTCCCAGGTCTCTTTCTCACATGTTAACTCACCTGTGCAGCAGTCCCGGGAGGTGGGCCCTCCGACCACTGAGGCTGCCCAGAGCTACTCTGCTTTTCAGCAGGGCTTTAGGCCCAGCTGACTCCCCCCACACACTTCCCTTCCTCCACTCAGGACTGAGTTTTTTTTACATTTGCTTTGGGTCTTTACAAACAATAAAATAGATAACATGGAGTATCCTTTGACCCCCACTCTGTCCCATGCCTCCCCCTCCCGGGAGGCTGTCCTTAGCACTTTGGTGTGTATCTCTTTTACAAGACAAACTGGTGTGCACACTGGTTTCTCCGCTCACTGCCAGGCCCACTGTGTCTGAGTGGCTGTGCATCCTTTCTCCCTGCCCTTCCTGGCCTCACAGTTCCCCTGTCAAAGGACTGGACCATTTTATTTTATTTTAAATATGGGACACTTCACTGAATTTGCATGTCATCCTTGCGCAGGGGCCATGTTAATCTTCTTTGTATTGTTCCAGTTTTAGTATGTGTGCTGCTGAAGCAAGCATAGGACCGGACCCTTTGAGCCAGCATTGAAGCCCCTGGTACAGTCCAGCACACCCCTCTGTTGCCCGCAGGCCGGCAGTGGGGTCCAGGGACCTGAGTGCATTCGTGGCAAAGACTCTAGGTGCTGTTCTTGCATCAGGAGGCCCCGGTGACTGGCTTTCCTTTGTCTCGTAAACAACTAGTGGTACTCAGTGCTGTTCGTGGGTTCAGCTGGAATTGCATATAGGGATCTCTTCCTTCGGTTGGTTCATTTCACTTATTAGCTGGAATGAATGGTACATGGAGACACCCTCCCTCGTCTATGGTTTGCTGCTCAGTGGCTCAGTCACAGAAAAGGTGGGGAAATGCTGGGGTTTTCTGTTTTGTTTACTTTTCAAGAGAACCAATGAGTTGGTTCTCTTTCATCCTGAGAAGATGAGGACCCATGGATTTAAATATATTTGATGAATTTCAGTCTATTGTGATTCTGATCCTTAATGAGGCTCAGATTGTGCCAACTTTTTATAAAATTTTAAGTATATTTTTATTGATTTCAAAGAGGAAGGGAGAGGGAGGAGAGAGAGAAAAACATCAATGATGAGAGAGAATCACCGATCAGCCGCCTCCCGCACCCCACCCACTGGGGATCAAGCCCACAACCAGGAATCGAGCCATGACCTCCCGGTTGAGGTCAACACTCAACCGCTGAGCCACACCTGCTGGGCAGATTGTCCACCTTTGGCAAGTGGGAGCCTCTTCTAGCTGGCGCCTCTGGCCCCAGTAGTTGTTACTTTGGTAATTTGTGTGTTTTTATTATTTTTCCCTTTTCATCTGAGTTACCTAATTTGTTGGCATAGAGTTGCTCACAGCAGTCTCTGGCAGTCCTGTGTGTCCTGTAAGGTGGGAAGTAGGTCCCTGCTGGGGTCCAGCCCCAGCGGGTCCAGGGGTTCCAAAAGGTGTGGATGGAGTCAGCAAGGAAGGAAAGACACGGAGACAGTGTTCAGGTGATCATCATAGCCAGGTTCTTCTGCCAGAATCTCCAGCCTAGTTCTGTTTCGGATCTCCAACCAAGTTCTGGTGCCATGTTCTCTCGCTAGGTTCTCCAGCCAGGTTCTCCAGCCAGGTTCTATCCAGGTTCTTTTGCCATGTTCTGTCTAGGTTCTCCAG